CAGATTAAATGATGTCTAGCTTTGTTTTTTCTTATAAATGACAATTTTTTTTTCCTTTAAGCTTACAAACATGCAAAAACTACAGAGCTCCCCCAGCAACGATCGTCTTCAGTCGCCACCCAACAGACAACAGTATCCTCTATCCCATCTCACCCATCTACTGCTGGAGTAAGTCGATAATAAAGAACTTCTCAAATCATTCTTATTTTTTGATATGTGCAAAAATGATTAAAGGTATTCTGTTCTTTTTTTTTTTTAACAAAATCTTCTATTTTATATAATCTCTCTTACTATGCCTCTTAGGTTAACATTAAAAGTAATATCAGAAAACTTTCATTACAAACCCTAATTAAAAAGCAGTATTCAATGATAATGCAAATGATAATTTTGGGCGCTTTGGTCTCACTCACTATCATAAACTAAAACATTTTCTGCTTGGAATCATTTTTCAAGAATATAAATATGTATGCACATGTCACACATATAAACATGTCATATCTTAGGCCTCCGCTATTAATATGTATTGAAGAATTAAGTCGAATCATGTTCACAGTTCACCAGACTACTTTAAAACTCTTAGTTTAAGACCTGAATGTTACTCATAATATCACAAAAACATAATTCTTTAGGATTCAAATAAACAATATTTGTATGAAAAAAACTATGTTTACTAAAGGACTTAAATGGTGATATAAATAAGTATTGAGACCCATTATATTTCGGGAACGTAAGCTGGTGAAGTTGTCATCTCTCCTAAAACAAATTCATAAATTCAAAGCATTCCAATCAAAATCTCAACAGCACTTTAAAATGTTTGTATGTTAATCCTCAAATTTATTCAAAAAAGATGCAAGAATAACTAAGTAAATTTTGAAAATGACAAATAGGAAAAAATTTAACCATATTAGAGCAAAACACATATAAAACTATTATAATTAAATATGGATTTAGCATGGGAATAGTTTTTTTAAAAAAGATGAAATCCAGAAATGGACTCTAAAATAATTATAAATTTGCAAATAGCAGGGAAAAAAACAAAATTATAAAATACTACAGCATACTACTGGTATGCTCCCAAATTCCCAAAGCCAGAGATACTGCAATATTGTTATGGTTTTTCAAATTCTTCTCCAAAACACAAGATCGACCTCAAAAGACGGGGGTGGGGTGGGGAGGTGGAGGCCATATGTAGAATAAGTATATTCTTTTTTCACATAGACACATGTACATGGCTTTATGAACACATTATTAACATAATAAGTTCATCATTCGAAGGGTACAATTCCAATGATTTTTAGTTCCTTACAGAGTTTACATAATTTTAGAACATTTTCATCACCCTAAAAAAACCACTTGTACCCATCAGCAGTCACTCACCATCCTGAGCCTCTCCCTCTACCCACCACCCAATCCCTGGGATCCACTAATGTACTTTCTTTCTCTACATATTTGCCCCTATATATTGACATTTTATAAAAATGAAATCACACGCGTGTGTGGTCTTGTGACTGGCTTCTTTTTAATATTTTGAGGTTTGTCTATGTTGTATCATATATCAATACTTCCTTCTATTACCAAATAACATTCTATTCTATGGAAATACCACTTTTCTTTATTCATTCATCTTGATGGGCCTTTGTTTCTATTTTTTTGCTATTATGAATAACGCTGCTAATGAATGTGGGTGTACAAGTTATTGTATGAACATATGGTTTCATTCCTCTTGAGTATATACCTAGGAGTGGCATTGCTGGGTCGCATGGTAACTCTGTTTAACGTGGAAAGAACTTCCAAAACTTTCAAAATGGCTGCACATTATAAAGTCCCATCAGCAGTTTATGAAGGTTCCAATTTCTCCATATCCTTCCCAAACACCTGTTATGGACTATCCTTTTGATTATCCCCATTCTGGTGCGTGTGAAAATGGTATCTCATTTGCATTTCCCTGATGACTAATGATGTGCATCTTTTCATGTGCTTATTGGCTCTTCATATATCTCTTTTGGAGAATTCAAATCCTTTTTGGGGGGAGGGGGTACTAAGTTGTAGGGGTTCTTTACATATTCTGGGGAGTAATCCCTTATCAGATATATGATTTGCAAATATTTTCTCCTGTTTGTGAGTTGTCTTTTTACCTTCTGGGTGGTGATTGCACATTCTCTTTTGTGCAACTTAAATTTATGGAGTAAGTCATAAGGTTAATTGTTGCAAATCTAATTTATTTTTTCCTCTTTTTCCATCTTCGCAAATAGAAAATCTTCCGTGCCATGTACGACTATATGGCTGCTGATGCAGATGAAGTGTCCTTCAAAGACGGAGATGCTATTGTAAATGTTCAAGCCATCGATGAAGGTTGGATGTATGGCACTGTGCAGAGGACCGGCAGGACTGGCATGCTCCCGGCCAACTACGTTGAAGCTATTTAAGCATTTCAAAGCATCGTGCCTGTCTACAGGGCCTACAAACACTGCAGTCAGTAGTTTAGTTCAGACTCTTCACTTTTACCCAAGTTCTCAAGCTGCTTAATGGTTTTTCTGTCAATATGATTCATAGTTTTACCATCCTTTGTTTCTGTATGAACCCAAATAATTCTTCAGTAAAAAAAAAAGTTAACATCACTAATCTGTCTAGTTATTAAACTGGTTTATTTCATTATTTTCTGGACTTGCACATAAAATGAGACATTAAACCCATAGGTTCATTATTTTTTAAATTGCCATTACTAAATTTTCCTTTGGGTTTTAAGACGTTTAATTTCAGAATAGACATTTAAAAAGTTTCTGCAATGTTACATTATTACCATACCGTCTTTCTTCATTATGAAAATGTTTAACATTATTTTCTAAAACTAGGATTCTGAATATGTTAAACACATTAAAGAAAAATGGCGGATGTTCACCTCGTCTTGCTTACTGAATGCTGATGCTTTTTATTTCTAATCCAGTTCTGAAGTTATAAAGCTGATAGTCAATATAAACTGGTGATAAGCTAGTAACTAATAAAATCTGTAATTCTGCAACAAACGCTACTGATGGAATGAGCCTTGTTTACTTTCGGTAAAAATCTACAAATAAAAAAAAATTCAGTATAGCAAATGTCTGATCCTAGACTTCATTTAAAAAAATTAAACTTAAAAAAAATGTATTGTGAAAAATGCACAAGCATAGACTTTCTCAGAACTCTATTCATACTTGTATTTAGCAAGCTTCCCTTAGGCTCAGCTTTAAAGTTTTAGAAAGAATTTTAGGATCCAGTCTTAACCTCAGGGGATCTTTCTCGTCTGTATCTAGTGGGCTTGGCAGTAGGTGGCAAGGCATTAAACAAGCAAAGGGGGACTGCCAACCAATAACAGCTTAATGCTTTAGTTTTCGGAGTATCTTTTCTAAAAAGCAAAAGATCTGTCCACATTCCTTTAGAGCTGTACTAATCCTGCTGTCCTTAGACTTTTTAACGTGTGTCTCTCTCAGGCTGAGTACACCAGTGAACACTGCACACTTGCAAATGATGTGTGACATTTGCATGCTAAACAAGCACTGTGCAAAATGCTGGGGTTTGAGTGATGAGCAAGATACAGTTGGCATCCTTATGAAACTTACAGAGCCAAGGAAAAGGCAGACCTTCTCCTAAGCATCCTAATGGTGAGGGAGATTGCCACTCCTCCAAATCAATCTTCACTTAAACTAGGTTAAAAATTTAGGTTAAGCCGGGAAACAATCTCATTGTGCACTGGAGATGTTTTCCCTTAAACTTTGGGAACACCCAAAGTATTTGCTGTCTACTAAGGTAAGCGTTTTTAGTTTTTAATTTTGCTATTTACAAGGCTGCCAAAGCACATTTTATAGTTGCTATACAATGAAAAATAAACACATTTATCTCGGTTTTTTTAAGCTTGAAAAAGTTTCAACATATACAAGAGAATCCTCCTGTACTTACCTCTTAGCCTCAAGTTTATTAATTCATGGTTAATCTTACTCCATCTCTACTCCACCAATGCCCTCTTCTCATTATCTTAGTTAATCCTATTAATCACATTTCTTAAAAATTTATCACAATCCACACCTTAAAACACTAACAATATCTAGTATTCCAACTTCTGTTCATCTAACTTTCTAGCCAACTGCTTGGGCCTCCTTTTTTGTCAGTGCAATACCAGGGAAGTCCTTTCATTGATCTCGACCACCAGACAACAACCTAAGGCTGCACAGAACCTCAGTGTTTATTCACATCAAGAGTCTATCAAGGAGCTAAATTATCCTAGAGCCAAAACTCAAAGCCATTCTCTTGATCACCTAGCTCAGTTTAACTTGATGCCATTCTTGTGAAATGTTTTTCGTGCTACCTGCCCTTGCCCCCAATTCTTATGTTGAAGACCTAACCCCCAGTGCCTCAGAATGTGACTGTCAATAGGGTCATTGCGGAAGTTATGAGTTCGCCATGGTGGCAACAGAACTGGTGCTTTTTAAATGGGGAAATTTGGACAAATAGACACACAGAGAGATTACCATGCAAAGATGAAAACAGAACTTGGGTTGATGCTTATACATGTCAGAAAAAATAAAAATTCCCACAAACCACCAGAAGCTAGGTGAGAAGCATGGAACAGTCTTCCTCATACCTTTAGAAGGAACTAAATCTATCTCAGACTTTTAACCTCCAGAACTGTGAGACAACAAATTTGTTGTTTAAGCCACTCATTTGTGGCTATTACAGCTGCCATAGTAAACTAATGTAGTGTCTTTCAACATCACCAAATCTATTTTTTAAATTTAAAAATGTGGATTTAAAAGTGTGTGGAACCCACAGAACTGAATAAAACAGAACCTATAGTTAAAAACAGGCCGCAAAAGGGGGCAAGAATTAGAATGGTTTGTTTATGGGATACAATGTTCACTCTAAGTTGCTATGTAGATTACACTGTTCTTACTTATTTCAGATCGTACTATAATAAAATGAAAAACCAAAACCCCAAACCAACCAAACAAAAACAAGTACCAGAACTGTTTAGTTTTTATGGTTTTATTTCAGATTAAAGTGCATTTCTTTAAAATGTTTCAACATCCAGTTTCATTTGGCAAGTGGTAACAGTCAACTCTTAACAGGTCATGAAAAATTTTACTGTGAATGAGATTTTTCCTCCCTCAACAGTCATAATGAATCTGCAAACACACTATTAGAATAGGTCCACCTGCTGCAAACATAAAAAGCATTACATATAAAACTGCACCTTTATTTCCCATCTACTAGTGCAGTTAAATGAGGAATGAACAAGTTCTGTGAAGTTTCAATTTAAATCATCTGACATCAAATATAAATACTTTCTGAATGTAAAACTAATCTCTTAGAGTTTATCAAGTGACGAGAACAAAAATACTACAGGGTTAATGACTGATTCGGCTTCTCTTTTTTTAAGTGCATAGTCAAGTCTATATCCATAGGAGGTAGTGTTTAGATTCAAAGCAATCCATTTCTCACCAACACAGAAAGCAAACTGTGACTTAACTTATAGTGCCAGATGCCTTTCCCTCACACTTTAAGGACCCTTAATTCCACGGCAAACACATTAAGAGTTTTAGTAGGGGTAGAAAGTGTTCCTAAAAAGTACTAGTATCTTCTGGTATACGTGTATTTGAGCAAGAGTAAGACATAAATGGAAACAGGGGAACCCATTTTATTAAGTAAAATCTAAATAACAGGAAAAGAAATCAAGAAATTAAGGAAGCAAGATCCCCTTTCTGACAGCTAAAAGCGAAAAACCAAAACTAACTACATGCCACTTATGAACAAAACTATCCTTTATAACAGGGTTGGCAAACTTTATGTAAAGAGTCAGATGGTATATTTGTTAGGTGATACAGGCCGTAGTCTGTCAGATGACTACCCAACACTCGTTTTAGTAGGAAAGCTGCCAGATATTATGTAAGTAAGCATGGCTGTCCCAATAAAATTTTACTTACAGACACTGAAATTTTAACTTCATATATTTTTATGTGTCACAAAATACTTTCAATCTTTCAACCACTTAGAAAATGTGAAAACCATTCTTAGCTCAGGATTAAAAAAAAAAAAAAAAAAAAAAAGGGGGTGGCAGGCTATAGTCGACCTCTGCTTTATAAAAACATACAAGACTGCCATCTTTGTTTTTATACTCAAAACTGATTCTTAATTCCATTTTTCCTATTAGAAAAGTTGCCATTCTATAAAAGTAAAAAATTCTTTTACTTGTTCATCATTCAATTATCACAATAGCTATACTACATTCCACTTTCTGTTCCATGGCACTGTTTTGAAGGTGAACATCCTAGTTGTATACATTTTACCTATTTAAGAAATAATGCTGCTTTTTGTCGGAAATATTTATTTTACTACCTTTGGGGGGATATTTGATAATGTGGATTTTATATAATTACTCAAGGTATTATCAGCATTAATTATGGCACTGTTATGTACAGAGTAACTATTCTCAGGGACTACTGGTTGCCAGCCCATTTTCGAAGTAAAATATGGCTATCAATCAGTCCCTATACTTAAATGACCAAGTTGCTTTATTAATATTTTGGTTCAATGTCTTTCCCTTTCTCTTGATTTCATTATTAAACAGTGCAATAATCTATCAGCATATGTTTGCTGTCTAGTAATCTTAGTTTTATCCACAATTACAAATTGGTACACTAAGGCCAAAAATGTTTCCCTCTCTGTGGACAAAAGCTATGTAGGCTTTTTGTTCCACATGATATAAATTTAAGACACTGCCTTCTTCAATTTTGTATTCTCAGGTAAAAATATTATCTTTTATTCTAATGGTATTATTTCAGGGGAGTAAGCATTTACAGCTTGGCACTTCATGTTTGGTTTTAACCATTCTTTGGTGAAAGGCTTGGTAAGATAAAAGAGAAATGGTTAAAAAATTTGTAAAATTTAACATTCTATTCCAAAAACTGAGCAAACAACTCATAATTCTGTTAGATTACTATTCTATTAAATATCCATATATCTTCTAATCCAAATGACTCTGATTTAATGATTACTTCCAAAAAGCAATATAAGAAGCCTGGCATATAAGAGATATATCATTAATTGGGCCATCAAAAACCACAAAGCCCAGATTTATTTTACAGATCAAGCAGTTAATAAATTTTGGTATAACTTCAAAAAATTCATTATTTGTGGCTACATTTTAAGTGCTTTGGATGAAGGCAACTCATATAAAAAGAGTAAATATGTGAAGAAAATACAGTATCAACAGAATGCCAAGAAAAACATTTTTAGAGAATCAAATTATTCAACTTTCTTTCCAAATCCATTTTACAATGAAATAGTAATTTTCAACCATGTAACATAATAGCAAAGTCACCAGAGGTCTTCAGTACAAGGCACATCTGTCAGACATGACTTATTTTGGCACTGCTAACTTTACTGCCAGTTTATTCTTAGGGGCAGTTTGTTTTCAATGTTTATTAATAAAATAATGAAGTCCCATAACCTATAAGATGAGGTTCATTTAGAGAATAAATGTCTGTAATATTTTAAAAATTTCCCTTATATTAACAAAAAAATCAGAATATAATCCACACATACTCAATAAGATTCACTGTCCAAACTGCTTAAAATAATGTTCTTTATAAGATGAAATACTTAACTGCATAAATCTTCCATATTTTGAAGGCTCCAAATGACACAAAATTCTGCCTTTAACTTTACAGCTTGAACATTAATTTGAAGCCTTCAAGACTAGTCTGCATCTCCAATTCACAAACTTGAAAAAGTTATTTAAAAAAAAAAAGACAACTTTTTTTTGGTGGCAATAATTCTGACTTTAAAATCTGCTTGGGCTATCAAAACCTAATTCAATTCACAGCTTGAAGCCTCTTCAGCCTATCTACAAGTGCAGTCCACAGACATCAGTATTTGGAAATTTTGAGAAATGAACCATCAGGCCCTATCACAGACCTATTCAATCAGAATCTGCATTTGCACACACACATGCAATTTTGAGAAGCACTGTGTTAAAAGTCAAAACTTCACTCTATTTGCATACAAAGTACAAGACCTTTCTAAAGGCTTAGGAATAAATTGGACATGGGTTGTGCTAATGAACAGACAGCCCCTGACAAGTCTTAACCTAATAAAGTCAACAACTCATCTTCCTAAAAATCTATTATGAAGAATACGAGATGGAACCTAGGCCTTTTTTTACTGGATTATAAAGTCAAAGTTGGAAGAAATGACATTAAGGGGAAACGGGACCCCTCTTAAATTTTATCTGTTTAATTTAAACTTAGCCAGCTTTTTAAACAGCACTTATTTTTAATTATCTTGGGAAAACAAACAAACAAACAAACAACTCTACTTGAATGCTTTACATACCTATTTTTTTCTAATTTTATTTTTTGCCCTGCCACTTTTATTTCAAGTAATATAAAATCTACCTTTCTTGACATTTATTTTGATTCTTAAACACATAAAAGTCCCTAACTTTCAAGCTGTACGGAAAAAAGAATCCATGGGCAATGTGAGGAATTACCATGTTTTCAGTGTTCAGATTTAAATCTTATTTTTGACCATGTTATCCAATAGTATTATTTAACCTGACTCATCCCATACTATATGGAATTAGAGCAAAAGCCACACACCATTCAACATGGCCTTCAAACGTGTTCAAATAGAGCATCTTTAATAGACTCACTGAAAAAGTGAATTTATATCCACTATGAAATCCATTTTGGAACATGAAAAATTATACTATGCTTCTGCATGCAACTAAATTATTTTTACAAATGCATAAAATAAATCACATTTGAGTATTATTAATATTTGCCATTTGTTTTATTAACCATTAGAAAATATTTGAAAAAGCTGATTATTTCAATAGTGAAAACACAACGGAGCTTCAAGAAACAATGCAGTTTGCTATTCAGGAATCACTTAGAAAATTTCGCAGTAATTTTAAAGGCAATACTGAAAATAGGGTGCCTCAAATACATACTTATAACTTTATCGACAATATTTAGCAAACTGTTTTTTGCCCTCAAATATTTTAAAATATATCCCTGTTAAACCATGTTATTAAATTAACACCTGTGCTTGTATCAAATTCAGTGATTTAAGTAAATGGTAAACATTTTGGTCCTATTTTCTGCTATACTATTTACCATTTCAAGAACTTCATTCCACCAGGAAGCTTAGTTCACAAACATTAAAATAGTCATGATATGAACTAATTTTGACTCCTCCACACATACACACCCGTTCTTAATCACATCTGTTCATTTAAAAACTTATGTGCCTCTTTTCTATTATAATTTGGGAAACAAATGGTAGACAAAATGAGCCACAACTGTAATTGTTAAAAATATTTTTCATTACTTATTTCGCTAAACTACAATCCTCAGTTCAATGGTCCCAGAATTTCTTCTAAAATCATCTTTATACGAATATCAATAATGGACAATAATAATTAACAATAATGGACTTACAATTATGAAAAAGACAGCAACTATACGTGCTAATTAGACATGAGGATTAAATTTCTATAACTTGCTGAAGAATGTGTGCCTTTCCAAGTAAGGGTTAGTTCTGAATAAAGTATGAAACAGATCATTCTACCCAGAGAACAAATGAGATATTCTCATTGTTAAAAAAACAAAACAAATATGGGAAGTCAGGCACTAATACTAGTTGGTCAAATTTAAAAATGTTTTAATTATATACAACCTATTTTTTTTAAAACTAGACAAAACATACATATTTTAAAAAACTTTCAAATTTCTTCCAAGTTTGCTTTAGGTATAGATGAAAAGAGCAGATAAATTCTAGATTTCTTATAGTCCAAGTTATAATGAAAATACTCTCTCTATTAAAAAGAAATGTAATGAGGCATGCTTTCTAGAGGCTGATACCCTCTTCCAAATCAGAAGGGGAAAAAAGGTGTAGAAATGAACAACAAAGTTATTCTGTAACACTTTCTCATTTCTATAACTTTACTCATTCCGGTTACTTTAGAAAATAAATTCATGTTTTAACTAAGACTATTAACTAAGTACAAAACTTTGTTGTTTTATTTGTAAATACAGACTCCTACAAACATCTGCAGCAAGCCCACAAAGCACCTCACTGTTCATTCGGATATTTCAGTATTTAATATGTACAAAATGTTTCTATTAAGCAAAACAAAGGTATTCACAAGCTGCAGAAAAACTCATGCAATTAACAAGATGAAATTTATAAATTAAAAACCCTGTAATCTATACATAATATACAAAGTTATGCATTTTAAAATGAATACTATGTCTCTTAAGAGTAAAATTTTCACAGGCAAATGCTGCTGCACAAATATTTGCTAACGCAAATAAATGAATGAAATCTTAGTAAATTCTGCTTTAATACTTTAACCCCAAAAGCTGAAACTTTTGGTATTTTTCTTGAAAGCTGTCCAAAGTTGACGTCTGTGAACAAGAAATTTCTTAAACCTCAGGTGCAACACACATAAATTTAAAAAAAAAAAAAAAAAAATCAAGTATAAACAACTTTATCAGTGTAGCAAAAAAATTCAAATAAAAATTTTCAATTTTACTTATCTTACATAAACTGTTTCATCAAAACATGCATGAGTTTAAGTGAAATAAAATGTCTGCTTTTTTGTTAAACATCTTACATTTCAGTAAGATATTTAAAAGCCACGCATAGCAGCCAAGAAAATATACTATACAGAAAAAATGATGTTACATAATGAACTTACAAAACTGAACTTACATAATAAGTCATTGCCCTTCAGGGTCTGAACTGTTATCAACTTGGCAAACATTCAGTCTGAAATTGTGCTATATTGCAGAACTTATTTTATAAATCAACAGATCCAGTGTTATTTTTTTAAAAACTTCAATTTTCTCTTAAAATACTAAACAGAATTTTCATGGGCTGATGACCTCCAGCGTGACTGCAAATTTCTTATTATTGAGTTTGCCATGTTACCAAGTTTCTCGTGCATTTCAAATAGTTGGCTTCCTGAATAATTATGGAGATCTTCTGATTCCAGTTGAAGAGCAAGTGCACTAATCTGTGCCACAAGATTTTTAGATAATGGAGTTTCTAAAGCAACAGGCTCAACTAAATCTATGACAGAAAAAAAGCACAATTAGATCTATTTCAGATAAAACTTCAACTACACATATTTCTCTTAAGTTAATAAAAGGCTTAAGTGGCTAGGTTTCAAGCAGAGTACAAGGTGAGGTGTGTATCCTTGCTCCTCAAGCGAGCAGGCAACAGAAAAATGTACCATAGCTTTTTTCTGTGCCATTAAAGAAACCGCCAGACTACTACATTTTTATTAAAAGCATTACCAGAACACAATATTTAGTTCACATCCTTATTTGGGACCTTAATGGAGTAGAAGTTGACAATTAGTAAAAAGCAACTAAATGTACTTAAAGTCAAATCAATTGTTTTTTTTCATGTATTTGGCAACTATTATTACAAAAAAAAAAAAAAACAGATCAATAAAGTCGGTTGATCTTGTAAATAAAATTGTCTCACTTTGCTAAAACATACCTGAGGCAAGTCTTTCTTCATCAGAAGAGAGAGATTTAGTTTCTATTCCATTTGTTTTTTCAGAAATATCAAAAACTGGAATCTCTTCTAATCCACGAGACTTCACCTTGATTATATATTCAGGCCAGTAAAAACAAAAATAAAACCAACAAATTGAAAATTACTCTTAGTAGGACTAACAACAGCAGAAAAGATTCAAACACAGCCTATCACAGGATTATTAGCTTAGCTAATATTGCTAAGAAATTACGTTCTACTACTACCACACACACACACACAAAACGTGTGAACCTTGAAAACATTACACTCAGTGAAAGCTAGCCACAAAAGACCCAGGTCATATGATGAGAAATGAGAAGCGACCACTAATGGCTTATACAAGGTTTCTTTCTAGGGTGATAAAATGTTCTAAAATTAAATCACAGTGGTGCTTATATAACACGTTGTGAACATACTAAAATCACTTAATTGTGTGCAGAGGGGATGAATTTTATGACATGTGGATGCCTCGATGAAGCAGTTTAAAAAATGTCCTTTTCAGAGATAAACCCCAGGGCCCACGGACTACAGAAAGTACTTCAGAAACTAAATTCTTGATCTATAAGAATTACTATGAAAAATTACTATTGTAGTTTTTGAGTTGTGTAAAACTAATAATTTTTTTAAAGATCACAAATAAATTAATATTAAATCTAAGACTTTCAAGGGTGCAGCAGAAGTCTTCAGAATTCAGTAGCTAGCAAACTCCAGTCTCAAAAATTCTAATAAAGAATGCTGGTTTTCATCCTTAACAGACCCTATTTATTCACAATTTTGCATGTCAATGGATACATAAAGAGTGTCTGAATGAGTTTCAGCAGAGTCTGTGAATCCTTCTGAAATGATAAACAAAATTTTCCACGTGTATTTTTATGCAGGGAAGAATCGTGGGGGCTTTCATGAGAAACTGTGGAAACATTCCATGACCCAAAATGTCTATGTGCAGAAAGGTGACAGAAAGAACAAGTAAAAATAAAAAAGTCACAACTGTATTAGATACTAAAATCAAAATACTGTTAATTACAAATCTTCAAGATTTTAATAAATGTTTAATAAATGTTTAGAATAGCTGTCATGAAACCAATCACCAGTTTGGTATAAAGGAGAAACAAGGGGGTAGAAGAACAGAATTCAAAGAATAAAGAGGTACGTTACACAAGAACACCACAAAATAAATGAGCAAACTTCTTTGTGAAATTATAAAGTGGCTTTTAAGTTACTCTTGGTTGAACAGTTTAAACATTAACATATAATTGTATTGATAAATCATTTACAGTTATGTATCACTTAATAATGAGGATACATTCTGAGAAATGCATTAGGCAATTTTGTCATGCGAACATCACGGTATGTATTCACACAAACCTAGATGATATATACAGCTTACAACACACCTAGGCTATATGTTATAGCTTACTGCTCCTAGGCTACAAGCCTGTACAGCATGTTACTGTAGGAAACAACATGAGATTAAATCAAGCATAAGAGAAAACACAATCAGGAGATGCAGTAAATGTGGGATATAGGAGGTTGCTGCCAGCCTAACATGGCACATTGTTGTACAGCAAACTTTTTTTTTTTTCAAGTAGAAAGACTACACTCTAAAGTAATGGTTAAGTTTAGTGTAGTGAATACAAAAACCAGTAACATAGTTGTTTATATCATTACCAAGTATTATGTACTGTACATAATTGTGTGCTACATTTTTTTGTGACTGGCAGTGCAGTGAGTTTCTTTACGCTAGCATCACCACAAACACGAGTAATGCACTGAGCTACAACCTCAAAAGACAACAGGAATTTTTCAGCTCCATTATAATCTTATAGTACCACTGCTGTATATGCAGTCTGCTGTTGACCAAAACATCGTTATATGGTGCATGGCTGTATTTAAACATGACTTATAACTGACAACTATGTTTTTACCTGCTGCTCATGATATACTCTCAGAGCCTTTTTTACATTGGACACTTTTGGAGAACGAATAGGAAGAGTTTTTATTTCAGATGCTGTAAGAGTACTCAAATCACCAATTGTTCTTATATTCTTGGCTCTAATGAGTTGTCCCAGTCCTCTTGCCCTGAACAATGAGAGGAAAAGGTAGACCATCATTATATTATATAGTTTTATTTATTTTATTTGTGAGAGCCTATTCAGTTCAATTTCCTGATTTAAGTTCAATTATAACAAAATTTATATAGGCTCACCTAGGCCACTCTGAAGACAAAAATCTGAATCTGATGCCATATGCCTGGCTTAAGCCATAGCACTAGAATCAGACTTACCCTAATGGGTGCTGCATGTTTCATTTACATTATGAATTACTAGCTGTGTGACTTTGGTGGATTAAATTTTGTAAACTTCATGTTATAAAGTGGAAATAAAACTACTTCTTACAGGGTTCGTATTATTAAATAAGGTATGTCTGTAGAGTCCAGCACAGCACCTGGCAAATAAGCACACAATTATCTTAGCCATTATGATAAATGCTTCTCTTATTGTCCTATCTGGCCCATCTTCACAGCTAAATTTGTATTTATTTCTAAAATAAAACGTATGTGAAAGTGCATATAAATCAACTCTAAATATGAAAACCTTGATCATTTAAATAGTCCTCTTAAATAAGAGGCATCTTTAAGAATAAGCCAGAAGTAGTCTACAGCCATGCTACCCTGAACACGTCGGATCCCGACTGATCTTGGAAACTAAGCAGGGTTGGGCTTGGTTAGTACTTGGATGGGAGACCACCTAGGAAGACCAGGTGCTGTAGGTGTTTAAATAAAAAAAGAAAGAAAAAGAAAAAAAAATAAGCCAGAAGAAAATAACCACTTACCACATGTTTGATGTAATCTGAGGTAAAATGATATCAACTGGTGCCACACAGTTCACCAAAGCTGGGTAAACACTTTCTGTTGGGTATGGTATGGATTCTTTAGCCATTTCTGTAATCTTAGAATAAATTTCAAAAGCCGTTAAATAAATGGTCACCTGACTAAACATGAAAAAAAAGTTGCGTGAAAACTAAAGCACTTCTTACTAAACACTTCTTTGAGCTCTTAAATTTAGGGCTACGTGATCCTGGGGACAGAAATCCTTTGCTTGACGTATTATGCTAGATAGAAAGAAAGAAAAAGAAAAAACTCAGAACCCTAGATAACTACAATTTTTTACGACTTTATTTTCACAACTTAAACTGCAAAAATTTCTTAAAATTTTCAGAAAATCTAAAATGTAATGAAATACCTAATCAATTACTTGCAGAATCAATTGCCTCTTACCACCTCTTCATGCTTTCTTACCAAGTAGCAGATAAAAGAACAATATATCCAAACCAAAGATTGTTTCTTAAATAGTTAATTTTAAGACAAATTATACAACACAATTCTGTGTCTGCATACACATATGGGCATTTTAAAGTCTACAGCTTACCTTCAAATGTGCAGTAGGTGAAGTTTTAACACTTTTTACTATGGGAGAACTATTTGAAGAATGGGCCCTAACAACAGAACATCGCCTATCAATGTCATCTGCCAGTCCTGCTTGATATATTGGATCTGCAAAGGAGACACGGCGAACCTGAAAACACAGTTCATGTATTTTAGTTAACAAAATTAAAGTTTTAAAAAATAACATCATAAATTCTCATTTTAAGGTTTCCCCAAAATAGGATGTGCGTTTAGAAGCTTAATTTATTTCACTAGAAACCAACTGCACATAGTTGTAGCTGTCTAGCGACTGCTTTCACAAATATTACTCAATACCGCAGGTCATTCCAACACTCAACGTTCAAAACTGTCTTTGCATAATACGGCAACAAACAGTGAAACAGGGACAGAAGAAACTTAATAAAAGTGCAGGTGGCAGTTAAAATTGTATAATCAAATTCTACTAATTTTATGGGCTTACTACCCTGACTGTGAAGAACAAGGTAAGGGGGTAAGCACAGTCCTCACTGGCTTCTGGTATATCCTACAAACCTCTGTTCTAAACTCTTTGAGGGTATCAGACTCACAGCAAGTGGATGGCAATTTTTGTTTCTTAGACCAAACTTGAAATCACACACAGAAATAAACTCAAAATAGATTAAAAATTCCAATGCAATACCTGAAATCAAAAACTAGAAGAAAACATAGGCAGTTAACTCTTAACATCAGTCTTAGCAATATCTTTTTGGTTGTATCTCTTTGGGCAAAGACAACAAAAGCAAAAATAATCAAATGAGACTATACCAAACTAAAAGGTTTCTACAAAGCAAACCATCAACAAAACAAAAGACAACCTACTGAATGGGAGAAGATATTCACAAACGATACATCTGATAAGGGAGTAATACCCCAAATATAAACGAACTCATATAACATCCTTGCCCCACCCCCCGGAAAAAAACCTGCTGAATAATCTAATTAAAAATGGGCAGAAGATCTAAATAGACATTTCTCCAGTGGACATATGGATGGCTAACAGACACATGAAAAGACATTCAGCATCACTAATCATCAGGGAAATGCAAATCAAAACCATTTTACACCTGTAAGAATGGCTATCATAAAAAAATAAATCAACAAATAAGTGCTGGCAGGAATGGGGAGGGGGAAAGGGAACCTTCATATGCTACTAGTGGGATTGCAAACTGGTGCAGCCACTCTGGAAAACAGCATGGAGCTTCCTCAAAAAATTAAGAGTAGAGCTGCCACGTGACCCAGCAACACACCACTTCTGGATATTTATCTGAATAAAACAAAAACACTTAATTTGAAAAGATATGTGCACCCTATGTTCACTGTAATGTTATTTACAATAGCCGAGATATAGAAGCAACCTAGGTGTCCATCGATAGATGAATGGGTAAAGATATGGCACATATAGAATATTACTCAGCAATAAATAATGAAATCTCGCCATTTGTGACAACAGGGATGGACCTTGAGGGTATCAGTCTAAGTGAAAGAAGTCAGACAGAGAAAGACAAAAACCATATGATTTCACTTTATGTGGAATCTAAACAAATGAACAAAACAAGACAGAAACAGACCCAGAGGTAGAGAACAAGCTGATGTTTGCCAAAGGGATTGAGGGTAAGATAGATAAAAAGAAAAAAAAATTTAAATATGAATTTAAAAAAGGATGATTCCTTGGTAGTTCATAGAATTGATAGGAAGGTTGGTGTGGTGTGCCATGCTTGAGGAAGGTATAGGGAATAAAAATAAACAAAATAATAAAGTACACTAAAGACAGACATAAATTCCAATGCATTCTATCTTCACAAACTTTTCAAGAACTTCTATGGTCTATTTTTATTAAACTTGCAACACTTAAAACAAAACAAACAAAAAACAGTGCGGCAAAACGAAACCAGAAAAATAAAGAGGTGTTAAGTCTAAGGCCTAATCTCTGAATACTCAGTGTAAAAATTTTTGGTTTAGCCTCGGGAATTCTTCACAATGTGTTTGCTAAAGACAAAATTAAGTGCTGGTATCATTATATCTATCTATACATGTTTGTATAAACAGATATATTCTACTGTAAATGATAGCTTCAATTTAGAATTAAAAAATACCTGCATCATGACTTTTCTGAACACCTACTTCGCTAAAAAGAGGGCAAGTTTAGCTATGTAAGCACATAACGGTTCCTTTTTTTATTTGGTCATTCAACAAATTATGTGCAAGTTATAAGGCCAGGAGGCAAAGCAGATATAGATAATCCATGTTTATAAACTAGAGTTATAGTTTAATGAAGATGGGAAAATTATAAATGAAATCATATCTAGAAATTGATGAAGGCACAGCCTACAGCCTACAATTGATTTTTAATTGTAATTTCCAAGGCCTGGAAATGAGAAACTGCACAATGTCCTAGGACACAGTCAGTGCTAACTAATGCTGCTTTATCAGATTCTAAGTGTTTCCCCCCATATGAGCAGGAAAAAAATCATACTGAGATGCTCATCACTCCTGCAATAAGTGAACAATGTTAATGGTTGTATAAATTTAGTTTAGTATCCTGAAATAAAGTGACATCTAAAGGGCTTCAGTCTCAACACCTTTCCTTCAACCTGCCCATTTCCCTAGCTGCAATGGTGAATATTCAAAACGGGTAGTTATATCAATCTCATATTCTGTAATTTACCCGGTGTCACCATCGAGCCAAAATATTCCTTTTAAACATGGATTATTAATATTCAGCCTCAAACCCCTACCTTATGAACAGGTGATGAGATCTCATCTTCTTGGGGTCTTTTTAGTCCTCTCTTTAAAATGCTGCTGGATGGAGAAGCCAAAGGAGACCAGACACAGCGTGTCTGAGTGCCACTAGGACTGTCATTTGCTGACAAAAGTAAAGGATCAAATTCGCTTAATTTTTGTGGAGATGTATTATTGTCTTCTGTTATCAGTTCAGAAATAGCTGTTTCAGATGTCAGAGACTGTGATGTTTCTTCCACTTTCTCTAAAGTACAGTGAACTTCCTGTAAACTTTCACCATCATTTTCCACTTTAATTTGATTGTCATCTAATTTTGTTTCTTCAAGATTATGAAGTACAGTATTTGTTTCCGTTTTATTAGAGATAACCTTTCCTCCTTCAGTGTTCATCTCCAGTGTGTCAGGAACAAATCTGTCAATTTCTACATTCATTCTGTTTGTTCCAGCTTCTACAGACTTAGATGCTTTGGTTGTCAAGTCCTCATCTTCTGTTTCATTGACAAGGTCAATTTCAGCATTCACCTCACCAATCTCTCTTTCTTCACAATTTTCCATTTCGGCATTCATTTCTTCAGATAAGCCTGGATCAGATCCATTATTTCCTCCATCTAGTTCCCTAGCTGCTATCTGTTCAGATATCTCTATTTGAGCTGTTACTTTTACAGGTGTAGTATTATCAGGATGACCAATAGCTGAATGAAATTCTTTAGTTACTGTTCCTTCAGCACTTAGTACTTCTGCTGCATCTATTCCAGATTCATCACTTCTTTCACTGTTTTCCACTGCTCTCTCTCCTTCAAAAATTCCAGTTTTAGCATTTTTTTGTTCAAAGAAGCTACTTTCAGATTTATCATGTTCTACATTCACTTCCATAACTTCTATTTCTGGATTGAATTTTGCTTCTACATTACGTGCATCTGCTTCAACATTAACAATGGTCTCTGTACTTACTTCATTCTTCAGGACAGCCTCTGGCTTTTCTTCTTTGGTCTCCAAGGTAGAACATTCCAATACAATGTCTTTGGAATCACCTGAACGGGGGCTAATAGTTTTACGTTTTTTATTAGATGGCTCTTGGCTTTCAACAGATAATGATTCCTCAGAATCCCTATCGCAAGTTTCTTTAAAATTTACTATTTCAGAAGGAAGAGAGTCTTGAATATTATTTTCTTTCAACTCAGTTTCAGATACATTTAATGTATCATTAACAGTATCATTCTCTTTCTTGAGACCCAAATGAATATTCACACCATGATGCCCATCTAGTTTAACCTCAGAGGAGAGATCAGAAGTTTCTGATATAGTTACAGGTGTTTGAACATCTCTATTTTTTGTTTCACTGAGCTTTATGTCATAATCTGTATTTGTTAACCCAATAGATGGCTTTTCCTGAGGTTGTGATTTTTCTCCACAGCAATCACAACCTTTAGATCTCCTCACCCTTCTACTTCTCTTGTGTCGGCATTCAGGTGTTTGGAAAGTTTTTTCAGAAAGTAAAGAAATGTCTGATGTTCCTATTTTTGAGCATTCTCCCACAATGTTATTTTCTATAGAATCTCGTTTATGTAATCTCTTATTGGCATTTCTAGTTCTTAGATTTAATTCTGATACAGGAGAATTTGAAAAGGAATATTCTGCACATTTGTTAGTTTTACTCTTTCCTTCATAAGTATCTGATCCATCATAAGAAACTTGCAATAAATCTGAAGATATTGTACAATCTTGAAGAGTTACAGCATTACTTTCATCTTTTTCACAAATCTGAGATTTTGTATTTATGTCCACTTCAGAATTTGCATTATAATTATGTGTCTGATTTTCAACTTTTATACATTCCTGTTTTACCATTTTCTCTTCTTGATCTTCCATGTCAATGCTGTCACTGTTTTTGTTTTTCAATTTTACAGCTCTCTTCTTTCTAGAACCTTCTTCTTTTGCCTCAGAACTATCAGATTCTGAGTTTTCAATGCTAGAAAGTAAACCCTGGGATGCTCTTCTTGTTTGATACCGTGTTCTTCCCCTTACTGGTTTCTCAGAGGACTTATCTGCAACGTCCTGGGCACCATCTCCCTCAGATTTAATATTCTCAAGGTCTGGCTTTCTTCTATTTTTGTCACTTTCAGCATTAGTGCTGGTTTCCCCAAAAGACTTCTCGTGTGAAGTATCTTTCTCAACTGAATTTTCCTGTACAGTATACTCAGAAATCAGTTTTTGCTTAGGTAACACATCATCTTTTACATGCAATGGACTCTTCTGAAGAGTCTTTTCCTCTTCTTTATGTCTTTCCTTTTTTTGATTATTTTCTTTATCTTGGCTGTCAACAATAGGCTCTGCTATTTCTGAACGTCGCCTTAAAGACCGTCTAAGGGTTTTCTGATTTGGAGTTATCTGAACATGACTATCCTCATTTACCATTTGATCTGCTGGTATTATGGCTGGGGGTGTATTCTCTTTGGATTCCAAATTACTTCCTACAGTTTTCTCCTCTACGGTACTATTTTCTAATAATACAGCATTTTCTACTGTTAGTTTTAGCACTGTATCCTCGTACTCCACTGTAGATTCAGAGATATGAACTCGATTATCTAACACACATTCTGTTTGATTAAGCGAACCAGGTGGGTTATTTTCTAAGGCTATCATGCCATCCACAGATTCCAGCGTGTTTTTCTCCTGATCAGACCTTTTATTTTCTGTTTGTTCAGCTTTACTCGATCTTAGGCCTGATCGCTTATTTCCATGCACTACTTTTTCAGAGTCAGATTTTGAAAAAGCCACTTCTTTTTTCTTTGCTTTTAGTGGAATATCTGTTTTAGTTATGCCTTCCTGGTTATTTTTCAGTGTAACAGCTGATGATATATTATTCAAGGGGGACGGGCTAAAAGGTCTATTTTCTGAACCATCAAACTTCTCCAAAGTAATAAAGGTTTGCCTTCGACGTGTAGGATGTGAGAGAATTCCAGAAATGGTGCCATTAGAAACTGAGCTACTGCTGACACCAAAAGTGTTTTCTGCATTAGACGTAGATTCGGTTGACATTTTCTTTGATGAAATTAAATTTTTTCTGGCATCATTATTACTGCTCAGTATTTCTGGACTGGTTTCCTCAATAGAACCACACTCATTATTTGAAAAGGAAGTCTTTTCAAGATGTTCATCCATACCACAGTTTTCCGTGACATCTTGAGGAATGACAGTGTCACTCTTCCTTTGTTCCTCCTGCACAGAAATGTACAATATATATATATAGATTAACCAGGAAATAAGTCTGACTTTCTGGGAAATTTTAGTGTAAAACCTTACTCAAAAGGTAATCACTGACTCAATATTTTGCAAATATTCCAAAGGTGGTGGCATGTACCCATTAATCTGTTTCAATAATTAATTATAAATATTCAATAAAGTCAAATACATTTAAATACATACACACAATGACTACAATTCTAAAATCTAGAAGAGATTATACAGCAAATCTTAAAATGAATCTTAAAAGAGACTCCATAATGGAGTAGTCAAGTATAAGCTGCCAAAAAAAATGATTTTTAAAAACCCCAAATAAGAAACATCAAATATACCTTAAATATCGTCTTGGGATCTTCCTTTGATTTTTCAGCTACACCAGTAATTTTTCTGAAATAAATAAATATAAATTAGAATACTGTTTATAATTAAAAATGAGAAATCCAGTTCCTTCAACAGCTTCCATACTTACATAGGTTCCTCCTGACTATACTGAGAAAATAAAGTATCTTGTGAAACATCCAGATTATTATACATGGCAGGAATATCACACCTGAAAAAATAAGTTTGAAATTTTAACATTATTTGAATGAAGTTAAAACTTAAATTCTACATCTAGTTCCCTTTTAAGAACAATATAACATCAAAGCTTAGATATTCTTATTCCATGAAACCATCTTCCTTACACCTTTCCTTCCCATACTACCTCAATAAATTCAGTTTAGAAACATTTGGTATCTTACTAGGTAGCCTCATAAATTATGAAATGTAGTTATGTACAATGTATCTTTTAAGCAATAAAATATAGTATAGTATACACAGTATCTTAGTCTAAACGCAAAGTTATGTGCTGCATGAAATCTAAGTTTGACTACAGAATCCCCATTCAAGATATAAAGACTATAAACCTCTTTGTTTTGAGTACTTCTTTCTGATGTTCAGTTAGTAGTCTTTCCTTTGTTTCTTTTCCTTCGGGAGGTATAACGACAAAATCAGTGGACTTTTCTTCTTCCAAAGGCATTTCACTCTTTATTTTTGGAGATGGAGATTCTAGTTTCAACTGCAAATTTTAAAAAAATAAATGTACGTTTGGGTTGCCAAATTATTTTTCCAATACTTCAATAAACTCCTTCAAGCAGTCTGATAAAGTATTTTGATAATGACTAAGAAGTTTTGAGTTCAACTCCACACAATATTCCTGGTTAATAACTACTCAGAAAATTAAAATTACTACATTTCTTTTTAAAGTAGGTAAGAGTGTATTTATCAACAAAGCATGGGTAAATATATTTTTTCACAGAGGTCAAGTGGTTTGGCAGAAGAGTGCATTTATAGATCTCAAGGTGAAACATGAAGTAGTCAAGTATAAGCTGCCAAAATATGCCCTACATACCACTCTCGCTGGTATTCAAATGTTATTCTTACAAATTTTTAGCATGATTGTTTTCATTCTACTTCATCACTGCTATAAGACTATGTTGGAATTATTCTTTTTCATTTTTGCCAAGAGCATGGTCTCAAAAGTCTAGAATATCTTTTACTAGAGTCCATGGAAGAAAGAATTATTGTCCAAAAAGTCGGCTCATGGGCAACTAGCAAGATAATTAATTTTAGATTTGAGGTCAAAATAGATTTCTTACCCAGGCATCGTGTTTCTATTCATTAACAGTTCTAAAAATACTCTCCTCTCATACTATGTTATAGCTATTCATATCTAGTTTCATTCCATCTCAAGGAGGCTGCTGCCTAGATTAACTACACTTAATGGATGCTAAGTATTATGCATACTTTATTAAAAAGAAATCATCTCCCAAAGTTTCTAGATTTCCATGCCATCCTAATACAGTTTTCCCAGACCAAACTCACATTCTCCTGCAATTCCATCTTTTAAAAGGTCTTAACAGCTTTTTCTTCCAATCAGAAATTCTATGTGCTGAACCTACCATATATTTTAATTTTAAAAGTTCTATAAAATAAACTTTAGAAAAACATACTTTGGCTGGTGGTTTCATATTTTCTTTTGTATCCTTCGGTCGTATCAAAAAAGAATCTCTTTTTCCACTTGATTTTCTTTCCATGCCACTTATCTTCATATTTAATTGTGAACTTTCTGTCTGTTATATTAAAAATAAAACAATTTTATTAAATACAAGTGTTCTATGTCTCCTTTTCATGTTTTGAAAATTCCAGTGTAATGAATACTCATTTCAAATTTCCTGCTTATTCAAACCTACTAAAACCATGTCAAAGAAAGGCACTATTTCAGTAACAGCAAATAGGTTTGCTGTCTCCAATACTTATAGTAGTTTCACACCACTTCATTTTATGAATTCTGAAAATAAGATATACCACATAATTACAAAAATGAATCAAAATGTTGTACTCAAATGCCCCTATTACTGGAAACTTCTAAAAGAACAATCAAAGTCTTAAACTTTAAGTATTAAACAAAAAAGCATGATAGAAAATATTAAGTATTCATGTCTCTCCCAACAGACTATGTGGCCTTTTCATGCCAAATTACAAGAATGAATCTCCACAAGTCTAGATTATCTGATAAGAATTTTTATTTAGCCTAAAACCAAAACAATATAGAGTAGTTGGCTAGCTATAACATTTTCTCTTACAGGTTCTAAACAAAAACAGACTCCATTTGTTGAAGAAAAGTTGTCTACAGTGTCTACCTATGGGTCTACAGTATCCATGCCTTTACTCTTTTATCTTTAAATAGTAATCAAGTACCATTAGCTAAAGTAACCTTGGTCTAAATGGGTGATACAATTGCAAAGATGTGCTTTTCCAACAGGGAATGATTCATTGGAAAAAAATAAGATAATAAAGGGTAGCTCTTGATTAGACATGGACCAGTAACTTTTACTCTTAGTTTAGCTAAAGCAAGATTTAACCACGTAATTTTAATAATTACAGTCTTTGCATATAATACATGATATGAAGTAGTTCAAAAAAGATCATTAATGAACAAGAACCAGAGATTATTTGCATAAAAATTGATGGGGAAATTTACTGCCCTTAATTCATGGAAGTATTTCAAACCAGAAAACTGACTATATGGAAAAATCCTATATTATGAAGCTCCTTTATTCAGGTTTTATTTGCTTATCACTTCAATAAAGCATTCTATCTCAGCTATTGTCTGTTTAAAAATTATACTGGAATCAATAAACTGATCAAACTCATTCAAAAGTAAAAGTAAAACAAAAACAAAAACGAACTCACTGCATCTGAATATGGTCCACTGGATTCCTCCACAATTTCAACATTTTCCAAACCGGGTAACAGCAGCAGAAATTTTTGTTTGGCTTGTTTTAGTACAGGTCTTTAAAAAAAAGTACATACATATATATACCTTGAGTCAAGTGGTTGTTGTGAATACTGATGTTAACAAGAACACTTTAATTATAATTTTCAAGTGGCAAAACGTATCCAGCTTAAAACTACTTCTTACTCTATAAACACAAAACTGGAAGAAACAATGGGCAATATTTAATTTTTGCTACTCTTCAAAAAAAGAAAATTTGAAAACTAAAGTTTCAAATTTTTATTATGGAAAATATTATGGGTACCTATTATATTAAGTACCCATGTGCACATTATCTAGATTTAATAACCATCAATTTCCTGCCCTTTATATTTATTAAAGATAACTTCAAATTGCTTTTTATATTCCTAAAACCAAGTGGTTACTATTTTAAAAAGACCAAAGGGTCAAATAATGTTTAATTACCATGCATGTACTCAAAATAACAATACTCAACTAAGCAACCCTCTGCAAAGATTCCTCATAATAAAAGTTTTGTTAAAACCAAAAAGCAATTTACATGATCACAAAAGAATAACTGTATAAAAGAGTTTTGTTGTTAGCATACTTTAACTCTTCAGGATAAATCAATGTCGTCACTTTAGCAAATGTGGCATTCCAGAACTGAGCACTCTGTTTTCGAATCTGTTTACTCTTGTGCAAAAATATTATGCATAATAATGGGGAGATCTGTTCAAGAAGTTCACTGTCATAAGTTCCAGTGTAGCTGTAGTGTAGACAAGCAATAATTTCTCCTAGTAGCTTTTCTAACTAGGAAAAATGAAAAGTTTATTAGGATAACACTTGGAAATGTTACTTTTAAAGCAGGAAAAAATAAAAGCACAAAGCATACTAAATTAAACAACTCACAGAACATATTATCATTTCAACTTTTAAAATTCAAATGGCTTTTAAGAAGCTCCCATCTGTCATCTTAGATATATATCCTTTAGGAGTTGACAAGTTATCAGTGAGTTTACTTTGGTTATTGAGATTACAACATTATTTCAAGCTTATTTTCCATTAATAGAAAAAAATTTTCACATTAATTATAATAGATTAACAATTGTGTATAAAAGTTGTACATATAAAATATTGAAACCAATTACCTCATAAATAAACGGATAAGACAGGAGTTGATAAATTACATGAATTTAAAGCAAATTATAACATTTTAAAAAAACATCCTTTGAAAAAAGTGAAAACTTTCCTGTGAACAAGCCATCGAGAAAAAGTGATCTGGAGGATACAGATCAGTGCTTCTCAAAGCTTGGGCCTTATCCTATCACCTGGGAACTTGTGAGAAATGCAAATCAGGCTCCAAGTTACTCTGGGGCCAAAGTTTAGAACTTGCTTTAACAAGCCCTCCAGGTGATCCTGGTGCAGATAAGGTTTGAAGGCCACTGGTATAAAGCGCAGAAATTTCTGAACAGGAAAACAAGTCCAGAGAGCCTGATTTAATTCTGGTAAGTCCAGGTTCCTCATCTGCAAACTGTGAAAATACGTTTTTTTTCCTTTTTTCAAACAAAATAAACTATCATGACTGTCATGTTATTAAATGTCCATTAAAGTTGACATATAAGCCCGTTAAAAATCAGCTGCATTATATTTAAGACAATTATTTAACCCCAATACATTTTTCATCCTAAGTATGTTTAATGGATAACGTCTATTTTTACCTTGCTGTTCATACAACTATACACTTTAGGAACATCATCAAGCCTGGGAAGAAAAAAATAGTACCATTTATATTTTAGAAAGCTAAACCTAAAAGTATTGTAATATAGTCATAAAAATAAGATGTATATGTATAGTGATATAAAAAGTTGCCCAAAGACTTAAAAAATGTTAAGTTCCAAACATTAAGCATAATACAAAGCTATCTTTAAACAATGAATCAGAAATATATTTGAAATAGACCTCCTCAAAGTATAAACATCAATTATTTCTGTACTTTTTTAAAAAAGTATGAATTATTTCTGATGAAGCTTCAGAATTATAAAAAAGCTTGCAAAAAAACTAATAGATTTGGGGTCCTGTTTTGTATTTAATAAAATCTGCTGCTAAAACTTTCTGCATATTTATAAAAGATAGACTTTGTTAATGATTGAATCACACAGCTTACTTTTTTAAAATGTTATTTGTGATTTTTCAGGTTTTTTTTTTTTTAAGGCACTGTTTGCTTCATTTCAGGGTAAATTAATACAAACTTTAGGAGGGTACCAGAAATTTAAATGTGCATACTCTCTGAACCAACAATTTCACTTCTAGGACCTTGTTCTGCAGAAATAGTGGCAAATGTGGGCTATGCACAAATGCATTCAACTGCAATATTATTAGTTATGAGAGAAAAGAATAGAAAAAAACTATGTCGACCAACAGGAAATTGGCTAAAGTTTTATGGAATCCTATGCAGACATTAAACAAAATGAGATTTGCAGGTGCAAGCAAGATGTAGATATATTTAGTGCATATCATATACTCAATTTGCAAAGTAGCATGTCAAGTACGCTTTCATATACATCATGTATTTAATGGGTATGCTCATTTATATTAACAAATCTAAAAAGATATGCACTAAATTGAGGAGACTGGACTAGCACTCAAAATGACTTCCAATTCCTACCTCATATTCATGTATTATTTGGACTGTATTTTTAACAAAAGCATACTCTAATATATTATTTTCCCCACTAAACTGTAAAATTACCATCTGTAACAACAAAGCTGATAGAAAAACAACTGAAGTTTGGCACCTAAATCTAAATTATATGTATTTATTTCAAAGCTATTAAGCCCAAATACTTACTTTGAATTTTTGTAAAATAATGCTAGAGGTCTTGTTAAAGTTGCAAATATTTTTCGGATCATAGAAGGCAAAGAAATATGTCCAAGCACATTGGAAAGAATGCCGATGATTGAGTTGCCAACAGCGAGGAGAGTATCAGAATGTACTTCCTTGAGGCTCAAAGTGTGGAAAGAATACATGACTCTCACAATAAGTTTAAATAAAGAAGCCAATTTCCCTAGGGGCTCCTTCTTCTTTTTGGACCAATCAGAAGATCTCTTCGGCAACAAGATAAAATTGAATTCATTAAAAACTCAAACTCAAGTACTTTGAAAAGTGTCATTGGCCATCTTTATAAATCTAACATTTAAATGATAGATACGTCTAATATATATTTCTGTAGTAATACCCAAAAATCTTAAAATGCTAAGTATACCATTAATGGATAAATATCACTACAACATTATCTTTAAAACAAAATTATCTGGCAGATCTATAATAAGAGTTCCAGGAAAATGAATCTATTTTCTCCAAGGAATTAAAGTATATTTCAAATTTTTACTCTACGGTCTCAGAATTTGAACCAATTTTAAGAAAGCACTAAATTCTATAATAGATTCTAGAATTAGATTTTAAATCCATTTAAAATACATGAAACAAAATTTTCCTTACAAATTATTGGCTCATGTGTGCATGTATGTGTATGTATGTATGTTTTGTGTGTGTGTGTGTGTATACATATATCCCAGAAATAACACTGAACAAGCCAGATATCCAAATCCTCGAAAACAACAAAGGGGGAAAAAAAAAAAAAAAGCCTAAAGATAAAGATGTATCTTAAAAGCACTGTCTGACTTTCCTTCATACCCTTCTTAGACTATCTCTTTTCAGACACATTCCTACAGGGATAAACCATATTTTTCTTGAAAATCATACACATTCCAAAATTATGTTTCCTTCAAAAAAAACCATTCTTTTAAGTTAAGGTATGTCAAATTTAAGAGAAAACTCTAATTCAGTGCTTGTTAATTAAAAAATATCATGTGGTAAAATGAAAAATAAGTGATGCTACTAACTTCCTTTTATCAGTTTCTCAGACGTGAATATGAATTGGAAAGGCTACCTAGAAATTCTTGACCAGGATGCTGAAGCTGACAAGACAGCCCACTGAGTCAGGAGACTGGTTACATACAAAAAACTAATCAAACAGTAAATATATTGAGGGTAATAGGAACCAGGTTTCTCACTATTACAGAAGGTAGGTAAATACAGAAGAGGGTAAGACTAGAATAAACCATGTGATACTAGCTGGTAACTGAAATTATATCTAGAGAAACAGATAGTAACTGTGTGGTTCACAAACACACTTATTTTCGACCTTTGTCCACTGAGAAGGTCCAGAAGCAGTGACACACCTTCATAGCAATGAACAGATCTTAATTACCAAATGCTGTTCTCAGCTAAAAGGAACCACCATGTTCCTTGGAAGTATAAACTCTCATTTTGGGAATCATCAGTGTTTCAGGCAAAAAGCGTCATTGAATAATAAACTTATGGCTGAAAGTTTGCTAAGAAACAGGATTATTTACATATCTCAAAGTTATCTGCCACAAAACATTAATTTCTTAATTATACGTATTTGCAGTGGAAAACCTGGCAATACTGTCTTAATGAAATAGTAAATGTTAACAATCACTGGTAATGAGAAAAACTGACATTGTGTACTGGCTGGCATAATGCACTGGGAAAAAAAAAACAAAAAACCAACAACAAAAAACCCCCACAGCATTCTGCAGTATCCCTGTAAAGAAATGAATGATACTTGAATCTAATCTTGAGGAAATATTAATAAGGCCAGACTGAGAGATTCTCAAAAAGTATATCTGCCTGTGCTCTTCACTCTTGAAGGTTATGAAAGGTAAAGATTTGAGAACTGTTCCACATTAAGACTTGTCTTCAACATACTTTGAAATGGTTCCCCCCAAAAATGAATAAAATGGGAAGATGAAAACAATAAGCAAAATACAACCAACTGTTATTTGAAGGATCAAAGTAAAGGAAATCAGGTGTCTGTGTATAATATTTAATTTTAGTTTCAGAGAAACATTACAAAATAATCTATCAAAAACCTAACATAATCCTGATGCATATCGATGAATAGTAACTACTTTCTTTGAACTATTTCTAATTTTTATTTCCTCTACTAATCTGACGGCAGATTTTAGAAATCTCCCCAGTTTCCATAAATTTAAATAGCAAGAATATCTCTTACAAGGCAAGTAGTGAAAAAGACAAAAGACATTTGTAATTGTGGGTTTCATTCTAATGTTTCGAAAATAACAAAATAGATAAAATTATGTCAGCATGAGGCTCATCAATATGGCCATATCAAACTTTTGTGGTTTACAAAATAATTTCTGATACCATTTGTTATACAACCTTTTTATAGTTATGGTATTTAGATATATTTATTCTTCTGACACACTGAGGAAATTAGATTAGGTCCTGCTCAGTCTGAGGAGAGCTGAGATCAAAAATTTAAGTACACTATAACCTGTTTCTGTGGCACTGAGGCAGGAATACTCTGATCTGTAATACACTTCAGGCACTTAATATGTTTCCCTATTACTATTTAGTAAAAACTTACACACACATAAAATTCTAAAAACAGTCTATGCTCTAGAAATCTTTACACTAATTTATCAATGATAGATCTTATTACAAGGTCGTTATATAAGTTCCTAATCTTTATATAGGAAAAGTAGCTATCTTTAAACATTAACATTTTTCATTACTGGAAGGTTATTTTCTATATACTATAAAAACATAATCAATGGTGAAAACACTAGATCGTAATCTTAGAATTAGTAGATTAAAATAACTCAATATTTATTACAACATAATTTAGAATTAATCAAGACATGTACTTTTAAAAATCAGACAATTTACTAGTTAATTGTCCAATTTTGAAGTGATAGAAATTAAGTTAAACTTTTAGAACCAATTTAATTTTCCTGTAAACCATAACCAATTAAACATTGTTGTGATTTTCTATTCAATTTAATGTCAGCTCAATGATTATTTTGAACCAAGATACCAAATAACATTTTAACAAATGTCAAAGTTTCTTGTCCAGATAATCCCTTGTACCAGATGAAATAAGTAAAATCACTTATATTATTAGGCAATCTGTAAATAGGCTAGTATTTATCTTTTTGCATTATAAAAGAGTAAAAAAAAGTGTGTATTAGACACAGAAACAGAGAAAAGGAGTGCTCTGATGTGAGTGTTTGACATGGTTATACGATGTCAAAAGTAGGTAAAACGAGGTGGGAAAAGCTATTATGATGTGCACAGACAACAGTTCAGACAGCCACATTTATGAAATATTGGGTGAGTAAATAAAGATTAAAAAAAATACTTACATTTAACTTTGGGCTGATATTTAACATTATATGGTGAGAAGTCGATGCAATCAACCATTACAGTAATAATACGAACAATCCTATCCAAGAACAACGAATTCTAGGGAGAAAGTTAAAAGTATTGTATTAAAACCTTTCAACTACTGGCATAGTTTTCAAAAGTAGTAGTAAGTATCAACAAAAAAGATTTTTACTCACATATAACATATAAGTCATAGCCTATACCATAAAAGATATATTAAATATATGGTTAAAAATATTTCCCAGTTAACTGCCATGTGGCCAAGTACTGTACTTTTTCTTTCTCAACATTTAGAAAAAATAATACCGCTTGAAGATGCCTATAAAACTCCGCATACAAACCAATATATCAAAAATGGAAGAGTTAGGTTCACAATTAGATTCTTAATCAAATTCCTCTTGAAAATTACATTTACTAAAACCAGAGAACACAAAACAAAAAAAATCAAAAAGTTGCTAAAATCCCTCATGTCCTTTCCTCGTCCTTCTCCAATCCAACTGAAATAAAAATAAACTCATAAAAGCATCAGAGATTATTCTGGAACCGTTTTTAAAGGCCGGAGTCGGGCAGGATGGGAATATAGGGACAGGCTGCCAGGGAAGACTAAAAACAGAAGGAAATCCCAGCACCATGAATCTAAGAATACCTCAAAATTATGAGTTCTCCTAGCAAAATCTGAATAACAGAAAACACATTGAGGGCTCTGTGGAAAAGATCTGATGGTTTTTAAAAAATCAAATGGCCAAAAGACTACTAAAATTTAAGACCTTATAAAAGTTACACTTTCTTCTTCCTTTATTCCACCTTCCATTGTCCACTTCACTGGACTAATTACATGTCTGCCCTCAAAGATAGCCTCCCCCAACAGGTGTTAAGGGACAGGAGGATAAAAATAATGCCCCGAAAAACCTGTGAAAACCATGTAGAAGGTCAGTTCAGATGACAATCTATACATTCATACAGAAAAGGTGCTTCCTTCTTGCTCACATTACAAGCTAAAGGAAGCCTGGAACTACAATTTGCTATCAAAGCCAGAAAATGGGGCTCTCTCCTTGACTCGAAACCACGTTCCACCTACCAATATTGTTTAATATTAACACTTATATTGATGAATATGCACAATCATGAGGAGAACCGGCACTCTGAAGCAGTGTTAAAATACTAACAGAACTAACCCATAAGGAAAAGAGCTAATAATAGAAAAAGAAGGAAATTAATATTCTCAAAGGTAAGAAACCATATCTACTTAAAAACATTAAATGTAAAAACAAAACCATTACAAAATACCTCAGCATTTAAACTGCAAAGAAATGGACACAGAAATCAAGCTCCCAGAAAGTAGTACCAAAAGCAAAACACAAACAGAATACAGGGAAAGAAAAATAAAGGGCACCGAAGATAACCCTAAAGGTCTAAAAATCAAGTGAAATGGCACTCGAAAGGACTGAGGATGAAGAAACAGCTCTTTAGATTGAAAGGGTCTATCAAGTATTTAATGAATAATTTAAAAGACTTCTCAAGACACACTCTGGTGAACTGTCTAATTTACAAAGGTAAGGGGAAAATCCTAAAACTTCACAGAACATAAAGAGGTTAATAAAAAAAAAAAATAGTATCAAACCATGCATTTGCAATGGAAGCTGTAACATGAACAATAATTACTTCAAAATTCCGTGATACACATTTTCTGGAACCTAAAAATTGTAACTAATAAGTTGACTGCATCATCAGACTAAAAGATATCAGTCATATAAATGTTTGTTGACATTTAGTCCTGTATTTTCTTAAATAAGACATGGTGAAGCAAAATGAGGAGGAAAAAATTGGGATATAAGAAAAAAGTGTTAGCAACCAACATCTTCAATATTTTGAAAAACTATTTTCCAAACTTTATAATACCATATGTAAGTAACTATAACTAAAATTCAGATTTTTTAAAACAAAACCTGGAATGTGGCAAATATAAAAAATTGTAAGATAGTGATGTCATATCTATATCTTCACTTGCTGGGATAGAATGTTTCAGATCTTAACACTTCAAATTTGACAGACTAGAAAGTAATACATGAAATAAATCGGATATATAATAAACATTAGAAAACTGTAAAGTTATAAAGTGATTAAATTGTTATAGAAAGGGAAAAAAAGCAAAGGATGTAAAGAATAAAAACATATACTGCATTTCTTGTATGTGAGAAATATTTATTAAAAGACTCCCACATTTTCTTACATGCTACATAAGACAAAGATTAAACTGATAGATATACACAAAGGAAATCCTAAGTCCATACCTTGAAATATGTAACAATGAATGTGAATAAATTCAGCTAAACACAACATGAATGAAACTTCCAACTACAACACTTAAGCCCCAAAACATATAGTGTCTTATTCATATAAGTCAAAAAGTGGGCAATGCTAAACAAATGTATACAGTGTGTGTAGTAAAAACAAAGAAAAACACAGAAATGATTATCAAAAAGTCGGGGTAGTATTTCGTGTGTGCGTGCGTAAACAAAGAAAAACACAGAAATGATTATCAAAAAGGGGTAGTATTTCATGTGTGCATGTGTTTGTGTGTGTGTGTGTGTGTGTGTGTAGTAAAAACAAAGAAAAACACAGAAATGATTATCGCAAAGTCAGGGTAGTAATTCATCCTGGGGAGAGGAGGGCACTGTGATTCAAAACACAAAGGAGACCTTCCGAGGTGCTGAAAATGTTCTATTAAAGAGACCTTGGTGGTAGCTACACAAGTATTTCATTATAATTTTTAAAACTTCACTGTTCCATGCAATTTTCTTTATATTGTTTTTTAAGTTTTTTATTAATTTTTCAAGACTTTACGAAGTCCTGAAAAAAGTAAATTTCAATTTGATAAAATTCAAGAAAAAGGTACTCATTCAAGAAAAAATGAACTCACTACAGCATTATTTATAACAGACAAACTATAGAAGTAACCTAAGTTTCCAACAGATGAATGGATAAAGTGGTACACATATACAATGGAATATTACTCAGCCATAAAAAAAGAACAAAATCTTGCCATGTGCAACAACATGAATGGATCTAGAAGATATAATGCCAAGTGAAGTAAGTCAGTCAGAAAAAGACAAATACCATGAGTTCACTTATATGTAGAAACTAATAAACAGAATCCAATAGACAGAATCCAATTCAAAGATACAGAGAACAGATTGATGGTTGCCAGAGAGGAAGGCTGGAGGGTGGGTGAAAAAGAGAAGAGATTAAAGATGTACAAATTTCCAGTTATAAAAACAGTCACAGGAATGTAAAGTACAACACAGGGAATGCAGTCAACAATATTGTAATAACTACGTATGGTGTCAGATGGGTATGACTTATCCGGGTGATCACTTCTTCAGCTATATTATGTCTAATCACTGTTGTACATCTGAAACTAATATAACAATATATGTCAACTGTAACAGAAAAATTTTTAAAGAGGAACTCACGAACCTTTATATATGACAATATAGCTTTAGACATATAATAAACACATTTAAATATATCAAATTTACAATCGAGGAGACACTTTAATCAAAAGTCTCAGAAATGGACAATTAAAAAACTGCAAAAGTTAAAATGTAGAGGAATCCCAAAATCCTCTCTGATCACAATACAAGAAAAACCAGAAATTAATGATAAAACAGCCACACACATCATTCTCTTGAATGAAAAAGCACTGTTATAAACAACCCTGTTCTAAAAAAATACATCAAAATTAATATTCTACAATCACTACAAGTGGAAAAAGATAAAAAAAAAATTCAAGCTTTCATACTTAAGCTTGAAAAAGGCTAGAAAAACCCAGAAAATGCAAACGAAAACTCAGTGTGTGAGTCATTTTAAGAGTTAGAAATCTGTTTTCTGACTTTTTAATGTACTTATAATCAGCCTATTTTTAATTATTAAATGATAGAATGTCAGGCTTTTAAAATGTAGTGATGATCAGATCAAAACTAAATGTTGTTTTTTTAAGACTTAAAATAGGTAAGCCTTTGATCATCAAGTCCAACCAAGAAAACAGGAATAACACTTAGAACAAAAAGGGCAATATAACTATAGGTACGACATTCTTCTTACATTATTTAAATTAGCTGAACACAGTACGTTAGAACTTTCTAAATCATTAACAAGCTCAGTATATCCACAATAAATTGGACAATGAGGCACTCCAATCTCACTAATAAAGATATATGCAAAAATTTTAAAACACTAATCTGCAATGTTTTAAAAGAATTTCACTGTGACCAGGAAGGGTATCCCAAGGACACAAGATCGGTTCAATATAAGAAGATGCACATTAGCAACTACTTTTATATAGTCATGCACTACTCAACAGGGATATATTCTGAGAAAGGCATCGTCAGGTGATTTCATCATTGTGCAAACATCACAATTGACTTTACACAAACCTTATGGTATAGTCTATTATACACTTGGTATGTGGTACACCACTGTTGTATATGTGGTCCATTGCTGACTGAAACATTGTTATGGGACAAATGACCCTATTCCAGCAGCAAAAAAGTTGAGGGAGAGGGGTAATGAGATGGGGGTACCATTTATAATTAAGCTGAAAAATAGCTTTAAACCTACCAAAAAAACACAAGCAAATTACTTAGATTAACTTTAGTTAACTTTAGAAGAACTAAATACACGAACGCATGTATTCCTGGATGGAAAGATTCAACATTATAAAGATATAAATTATTTTACAAATTAATCTATGAAGTCAATGCAACCAGCCAATGCCAAGCAAAATCTGTCAGGGTATTTTATAAAACTTTACAGATTCCAAATTTCTTTCAGAAGAAAATAAAGATGTAAGCCTAAAGCAAGATAATATTTAAAAGGTGAAAACTGAAGGTCAACCTTCTCCCTAGTAGTTATAAAAGCATTCCACGAATTCACTGTCTATGTGCCAGGTAAAAAGCCAGAAACACATATCACAAAGACAGAATGTCCCTAACCTTATGGACTGTAGGTGAAGTAACATAATTAAGTACAGAAATGATTTAAAAATAAATGCAAAAAAGGAAATACTATGATAGAAATTAGTGAGCCTAATTAAACAAGATCTCTCAGAGGCACAAACCTCATGAGCAGTTGTAGGCAGTTCAGATTTTTCCTCCAAATCCAACAGAAAGCTACAAAAGTGTTTTAAGAGTGACAAGATCAAATTTACATTTAAGTCACTGACAAATTCTATCATATCAAAATGCAACAATCAGAATTTTGACAATGTTTTTAAGAAAGAGATTATAAATGCATTTAAAAATCTGAAAAGATGGATTTCTAGCTCTTGATAGATACCTCGACTGGTGAGTAGAGTGTCTATCTACCAAGAGCTAGAAATCCATCTTTTCAGATAAAAAAAATATACTTCAGAGTAATAAATACAATTGGGAAGAACACTTTATTCACGTACATATGTGAGTATCAATATGTAAATTATATGTAAATACAAAGAAAGAGTTCTATCCTAAAATGATATATACCAAACTGTTAACAGTAGTTGTCCTTTCTGAATAAGGGAAAAGAATGAAAAGGGACCTAATATAAGTCTGCAAACTTCCAAAGGATTGACTTTAAAGCTATAGCAGATATGAAAAAGCAAGGTCCTTGTACTGATAATCTAGAATGGCACAGGGACAAGTAGATAGGTACACAACAGAGAAGTAAAAGTACATCACTGTTAATGGTCCTGCAAAAAAGGTCAGTATTAGGATAAACTCACTGAAAGGCCTTCATCTTCCAAACTGGACATTATCTTAGAAGAAAGCTCCTCACAGCACAAATTCTCTTCTGCAGTTGCCACCAAAGCAGCACAGCGGGCAAATGTTCTATATAATTCTGACCAAGTTCTAAGTAAGGTCTTCATGGTGGTCTAACGGTAACAGTAAAAAAAAAATTTTAATGTATATCCACATGTCAAATGTCTAATAAAATTCATCTTTAAAAACACTAACATTTAAGTGTCACAGAAAAGCTTAGGGTAATTAAGTTTGCCCCTCCCCCCCCAACAGAGCTCTAATCAAAGGATTGTAATAATACCACAATGCCAGCAATTACTAAGGGTCAAAAGGAACTTCTCTCTTCCTTTATCCGAAGCTAATTAAAAGTCTTAAGGAAGTCTTATTTTAGGAAAAATTACTGTATGAGTTCATTATGAAGAGTGAAATGTTTTCAGAAAAATGTAAATCCCTTAAGTAAAAATCTGAAATTGCCTTACCACTGGAAATTTCTGTACTGAAAAAATATGGTTTATTGGTAAAGTCAATGCACCATAGATGGCACTAAAATTATGTTCTAAGGCATCACCTTGATTCACTTCGTTGGTCTGAAACAAGAAAAATAAGACATTAGACAAATTCTAGTGTCCTAAATTGTAACATTTTACTATGTGTAGTAAGAAGTGTGTCCCCCAATATTGAGTGTTCAAGAGATGGTGAACTCCTAAAGTCTATAGCTGTGAATGTGACCTTATCTGGAAACAGGGTCTGTCTCTGCTGACATCACGAAGTTAAAAAAAAAAAAAGTCATGCTGGCTTAAGGTGGGCCCTAATCCAGCAGCTGGTGTGTCCTTGCAAGAAAAGGAGAACTCGGACAGACAAAAAATACAGAGAAGAATGCCAGGTGAAAGTGAAGGCTGAGAATGGAGTAATGCCTGTACAAATCAAGGAACATCAAAAATTGCTAGTGACCATTAGAGATAAGAGAGAAGCATGGAACAGATTCTCCCTCAGAGATCCAGAAGAAGCAAACCCTCCCAACACCTTGATTTTGAATTTCTAGCCTCCAGAGCCTAGAAAATAAATTTCTGTTGTTTTAAGCTACCAGTCTGTGGTAATGTTACGGCAACTCTGGGATACAATGCATTTGGTTTTAAACCCTAAAAAAGAATCCCAAAGGTGACTCCAAAATCTTTTACCCTACAGAGAAGGTAGCATTCAAGCAAGGACTTATAAAAAGGGCCTTGCTATCCTTCAAACAGTGGGAAATTATTTAGGAATGTAAACTTATTTTCTCCCAGAAGAATATGTTTAATGTATGCTGGCCTGAGAAGCCAAAATAAGGGCTACTGCACTACCACTTAATTCCTTGGAGTCTTTACTTCATTTGAGAGTTATAGTGAAATATTTCCCAAAGAATAATTCCATTTAAAGATTGATAAAGCAGTTGACGAACCACTAATAGTAACAGAAATTGAGTTCAATAACCTGACAATATTGCCACGTTTTTAGGTATTTAAACATAAGGGCTAATCAACTCTCAACAGATTACTGATTTAGGGACTACTATATGGCTTCACCAACATGGCTTGACCATTGGAATTCTAATATACAGTCTAGATTGAGATGACCATTATTATTCCCCATAGTACGAATACTGAAAGAAACCAAAGATATATACATATAAGAATTTGTAACGTCTTTGTAACCGACTTTATAACCTCTATTAGAGAAAACAGACCTGATTAGTCTTCCTTAAGTTATACTTTCTTCAACAATAAGGCAGAAATACAATGAAAAGAAACACCTAAGAGTAGAAAATTAACCAATCCCACAGGAAACAATTTTTTAATAGCTTCTATTCAAATTCAAGCTTTAACTCATTCCCCCATATACTCTAATAAGAAAAGAAATTCCTTAAATTTTGAGAGAAATATAAATATTTAGCAGACTTATATATCATACCTGATTAATCAATTCAGTTAATGGGGTGACTATAATACTCCACATTCTCCAGAGATGCTCCTTGTTTTCCAACTGCTTTGCATTTTGATTAATAACATTTAAAACAGAGTCACTGAAAGCTAGTGGTGAAGTTGGACCAGAAAGAACACAACCTACAAGTGTTTCCAGATTAAGAAGAAACCTGAAGAAAAAATTTTGAACCATGCATTAACCTGTACTTTTTGCCAAAATACATTAATTACACTATAATGCAAAATTCTAAAAATAACTGACAAGGAAACAAGAAATGAATTCCATGTTTTGTTTTTTTTTTAATTTAAAATATTTGATATAGTATATATTAACTCAAAAGAATCTCATTCATCACATAACCACCTTTCCAAGATAAAGCATATTTTGTTTAAGTTACCTTTCATCTTCTACACCATATTCCAAGAGATTGTTGAAAATTAACTGAATTAAGAACAAAGCAGGAGTTCCCTGAAGAAAGATGAGATTGCTGTCAATCTTCTGGTTACAAAGAGTACAATCTTTTTATACTTGCTTTCTACAATCAACTATGTGATACATTAATCTTTTAGGCTTGAGAAATTTAACTTTTGACATTAGGATATGACAAAAATGATAGCAAATATATAAACTACACATAAAAATCAAGCTCTCGATATTTTATTCATAGCTGTTCCATCTATACTGAATGATGAAATTCCAGATGTAAAAAGAATCTTAAAACTTGCCAGACCAAAAACACCTACATTCTGCAGATATTAAGTACATCTCACTATAATTAAGCCAATATTAGACTTCCAAAATTTATGACAGTAACCAGCACTATCATTATGTACAAGCACACAGAACTTTTCTTCTGAAACGTTTTTAATCTCACAAAACGGTTCCGTTAATAGTGCCGTTTTAAATTCTTTACATTAATCTATTACTTCATCTATCAATTTTTTTTCCTTTAACATATTCAGCATATCCAAAACCAAGTCTCTTGAAATTTTATAATCTAAATCTCACTAATTTAAGAAAATGAAATAATGGAACTTTTTTTTGTGGCTAATTTAATCACATCATTACATTTAAGATACTTGCATTAAGAATATCCATATTAGCAACCTGATATGCTGGTGAACCTAATACTTTCTGAGGAAGTCCTTTAATTGTAATTTCCATGAGGACCTAAGAAAGATGAAAGGTTTTACAGTAAGCAAGCCATAAAAACAGTATTTAGTAAAAATCTAGTAGTACTAACTACTTTTAACAATTTATTATAATATTCATGAAATACATTCTCATTAGTTTAAGAACTTCAGGTAATATTTATATATTTACATGAATACATTTGCATTAGTTTAAAAAGTTCAAATACAAAAATATAAAAAATAAAATCATAAAGTCCTTTATTTCCTGAGAAAATCGATACGATCAGTTTTGAGTTTATTTTTCTAGACCATCTAAATGTCGATATAAGAGAAACAACTTCTTGGGCAGGCTGTCATATTCTTTTATACCATTAGTGATATTATAGTGTAAGATACCATGGAACTGACCTTTATCTCACTGTTATGGAATTTTCAGAAATCAATATATGTCGATTCATTCTTAACTGCTAAATATATGTGCATAGTTTATGCAAACGCTTTTATATTAATGGACCTTAAAACGATTTCTTTTTATACTACACAAAGAAATTCTTCAGTGAATTGTGTATTCAACTAGTGCCAGAAGCAAATATTTTTAAAGAATGCTAACTAGAAGGTCTGAAACATGCCTCTCAAATGTGACAGAGCCTACCAAAATGCTATCCAAAAATATTACTATACTGATATTAACCCAAACTATATAACTAAAGTGACATAACATGATGAAAAACAATGTTAGTGAAAATATGCTTTCGCATATACTCATTTGAATCAGACATTAAATAAACAGCATTTGTTAATTCATTTATATTGTTCCTGGCCCATAGTGCTCTGCATGTATCAATCCATTTAGTTATGAACACTACATTCTCTCTTTACAAAGAGACAAGAGAGTAGATACATTGGCCAACTTCATTCAGCTAATAATTAGGCTGAAATTCAACCTAGTCCGCTACAGAGCCCTAGATATTAACCACTATGCTCTACTGCTATAGTAGATAATGTCACAGTGCATAAAGAAAATAGACTCAAGACTTATGTATAGTTTCCTCCATCTGCAGCTTATTTGGGGAGATTTCAATATTATAAAAACCATAGCTAATTAGCGGTTTCCTTCTCTATTATGTAGGGTAAAAAAAAAATATAATACCAAAGTTATTAGGTTGGTTAAAGAGTTCATTTAAAATGCAAGAGCTCCAAAAATTACCAGATATTTTTGAAAAAGTACAAAAGTTACAATTAGTGAAGCTCAGCAATTTTGTCATAAAATATTCATCTGAGATTCTTCAGTTCAAGTTTCATGTCCTTCACTCCATTTTCTGTTACTTATCCTTTTTCTTATTACATTGATTTTTATAGTTGCCATTAACAGCCATTTACTTTATAAAGTTTCAAACGACTCTAAACTCAATAAATAACATTTATTACAGGACCAAACTGCTAATAAATATTAAAGTGTTTTCTCAAATCCTGATCTGTGCAAATATCTTCAATATAAAATTCAATTTCAAAGTGTCATTTTTAAATTCTAGCATGTAAGTACTATACTTACCAGTGTTTTCGATATAGGAAATACTTCGGACTTTACTATGGTCTCCAGAGATTTTAATAAAAGGGTTAAAACTTCAGAACCTGGTTTCTCTTTTTTGTTACCTACCAACAAGCAAAAAGAGAAGTATAGTTCTAAACACGTAAGTATTTTTAGGGGTAGAAAAATACACATAAGAGAGCTATGAAAGATTAATTTTTTACTAGATCAAAACAGTGCTTTTGTTTATAAGTCTGGAAGCTATACTTTAAAAAGATTTTGAAAATGTCATATATGAAAGCCAATCAATTCCCTGAGTGCTATAAAATCATTTAATCAATCTTATAGTGCTTACCTGATTCAACAACTGACTTCACCAAGCTAATCAGCTCCTTCCAAATAGCACTGACAACTGCATCTGTCAAATAAAAGAAAAGTACTTTGGAATGAAGTAGATATGACTAAATGCATCCCTTTTCATCCTCATACTAAAGAAATAAATTAAGCAATCATTTAGAATATAATTCTCCCTTTAATATTCAACCTTATAATCAGTTAATAAAACACCAACATCTCATTACTACTCAGAGCAAAAAATTGTTTTTTTGTTTTTTAAAGGATTATAACATATTAACACTGGGTCATGTACCAGTTAATTATTTTCTCTTTTTTCTTATGTTTATGAACACATTTAACATCTGAGTCAAGGAAAAACAAAGATAAGATACCTGAAAACCACTAGAAAAAAACTTCCCAGCCAGTTAAATAGCAAACCATTTTATTTACGAAATTTTTTCTCCTCATTTGATAGGCTATAGAACATAGTCTAGGTATAGATGCTGACGCAACAGAGCCTGGGTATGACATGGTTCCACCACTTACTGTGACTCTGCACAAGTTATTTACTTCTCTGAACAAAGGAATTTCCTCATCTGCAAAACTGACTAACACAAGAGGTCATTGTGAAGATTAAATGACTATAACCTTAAGTTCTTGCAGCACAATCTAGCCAAAAGATGGCACTATATAAATATTTACTATTTAATTTGCTTTTTAAAACAAATAAAAAACCTCTTATTTACCAGAAGTATCTTTTCCAACTGCGACAAAGCTATCGTGAACAGCGGTGATAAGAGTATTTGCATATTTGGAAAAAAAAGAAGAGCTGCTGATTAATGGATGTTCAAGTGGCTCTAAAAGAAGAAAAGAGACAATTATGCAAAACCAAAGCTTTATGAAATAAATTTCTCAATATAAAATTTAAGGTGGTTAGACATGTTTTCTATTAAAGACTTACATTTATTTCATACATAATTACGGAATATGTATTTTTAAAACAGTTAAATACCTAAGCTCAGTACGAGTTTGTTTTGCTTAGCAAAACTCACAACTTCTGGACCCAATAAAAAATGAAGTAACATTTCAAGTCCTAAATGTTGAATAGAGGGGATTGTGGCCATTCCACCAAAATTCGAACTCAAGTTCATCCGAGTAGTTACAGAGGCTCCATATGGGGAAGCACCTTTAAAATAACAACAAAAAAGATAAGTTATGCAAGCTTAAATTAGCTACCCAAATGAATGTATATTTTTTACTTCTTTTCAATGAAATGCACCCTTAGTGTTTCTCAAATGCAAGTTCAAAGTTTTTGTTTAAAACTCACAAGAGTTCCAATTAAATAATCTTAACTGAAAGATCAGTTTCACAGACCATTTAAATGAATATAATTCTCAGGCAGTAATCCATACTCTGAATTATTAA